GCACAAGCAGAAGTATCTGCCCAGGTCAGAACCAGGACTTTTGGTGGTACAACGGGCAACGCGCTACATGGCTGTTTCTATTTATCTAGATGGATTTTTCTATCAAAGCACTGTGGAGAATGGAGTATTGTGAGGTATGATGTATTATGATGTATTCTGAGGCATTATGGGTATTATGGGGTATTATGAGGTATTATGGGGTATTTTAACGGTATTATCAGGGTATTATGGGGTATTATAAGGGTATTATGTTCTATTATGAGGTATTATGGGGTATTATGGGTATTATGAATATTATGGGGTATTATAAGGGTATTATGGCGACGTGTACTGAGTATTATGCGAGTCGGAGACCCCTCGCTCTTCCGTCACCATGGCACTGATTGGCTGTCGGGCTAATTCATCCGCTGGCCGAGCTTTCCTCGGACCGCACAGATCGTCTGAGAGCACAGTACGTTGGTTTGGAAGTTCCGGCCGGAACCGCATCCCATCGCGTAGTACAGTTGCGTTCAGATCGTTTGTAAAAGTGAGTGAACTGCCGGAAGTGCCATGGTGCGGAAGAAGGTGACGAGCACGAAGCCGTCGTCGTCGTCATCGGCGTCGCCGCCCTCGCGTCCACACTCTCAGCCCGTTACTGACACTTTGCAAATACACAATGAACTTGCTTATACAGCAGTAATACTCACAAAATTGCACGTAATACTCACAAATTCAGTAAGTAATACTAATTATTTTGTTAGCAAGTACTAAGGATCATCTTCCTAAGTAATTCCTAACAAAATAATTAGTATTACTTACTAAATTTGTGAGTATTACGTGCAATTTTGTGAGTATTACTGCTGTATAAGCAAGTTCATTGTGTATTTGCAAAGTGTCAGTAACGGGCTGAGAGTGCATCTACGCCCACGACCCCGCTGCTCGGCCCCACGCCCACCCCGCCGCCCGTGTCAACCTCAGCTACGTCCTCCTCAGCCCCGGTTAGGTCCGCCACCTCACGCTCACGCTCGCGCACGCGGACGCCGTCCCCTGCGTCAACATCAAGCACCACAACAACCGGTGACGGTGAGCTCGAGCAGACGCCGACGTTGTCGAAGCGTGCTGTAGCCATGGCCAAACTGGAGTCATATGCCAAACAACTTGCGCTAGGGACCCTTGTTGTTGGGGATAACAAGAAGTTACGGGCGGCGCAGCCGGGGGACAAATTTGATGTGTGGCAGAAGCTCGACTTCATAATGCATGAAAAAACGGAGATTCCGGTTGATGCCGTGCAGTGCAAAATGTGCAAAACCGTACTGTCGTACAATGTAAACACTACTGGCAACAGTCACCTGACAAATCACGTTAGAAATTCATGCAAGAAACGGAAACCTGTAGAAGAAGAGGAGTTTATGATGTGTTCTCCAGATGCAAAGTCTAGGTTTATTGATAAAATGGCTGATGCATGTGCACTCACTCTCACGTCAATGAACCACATCACAAATGAAGTGTTTGTGGAGTTGTTTCAACTTGCTATCGATATAGGGCATACCGTGGGTCGCGTTGACGCGCGGGAGCTCGTCCCCGCTGTGAGCACGTTGTCACAACGCATGGAAGATAGGGCCGAAGAGGCGAGGGCCGACGTGATCAAGCGTGCGATCGAGGCTATCGAGGACGGGCGCTGCCGCTGCAGCACCGACATGTGGACGGAGGAGTTCAACGGGTTTAGCTACATAGATGTCCATGCATACTTCTCAAACCAAGAGTGCACGGGGCAAGAGTCACATTTCCTTGTAATGGCCAAAATGCCCTATGACCAACCGAAAACCGGCGCTAATATAAGGAACGCTTTGTTTAGGGCGCTAAATCGTCTAGGTCTATCAGCTGCTCAATTTGAGAAAATCGAGTGGGTCACGGACAGAGGGGCCAACATAAAAAAAGCCTTAGAAAATGTAGACGGACAGCCTGCACTCCCCAGAGAAGACTGTGTGGCCCATTTGATAAACACCATTGTGCGGGGCACTCTGTCGTACACTCATCTCGAGTTGCGACAGAAGGCATTTAGTGGCAGTGACACGGCCCTGCAGATCTGTGACAATGTGGCGGCTGCGGCACGCAAAGTCAAGACCGCCAAGAACGCAAATGTGCCCTTTAATTTAGCAAGACTACAGGAATCCCTCCATCTTGCAACACCACACCTACGGTCGTACTGCAAAATGCTGCAGTCCGTTGTTTCGCGTATGCGCCAGGCGAGTTTCTCTAGTTTCGTTGTAATTTTCACTAATCGCTTCCCAGGCGCCTTGTAGGTAGGCAAACACACCTGCGCGCCGCGCATTGGGTGCTGCCTACCTACAAGGCGTCACATGCCAGTTGGATCAACCGCGGCGGCGGCGGCTATGCTATCGTTCCGACGCGTGAACCCGTGAATTATAGTACATTCTAACGTTATTTTATCATTGTTCATATTAGGTGCAACAAGTATTGGTGGCTTTAGGGCAGCCTTCTATCCCCTATGACGCCGAACAGCTACAAGACATCATTGAGTTTCTCGCCCCTCTCGACAACACAGGCCAAGTCCTAGCAGCCAACCTTAGGAAACTACGGCTCCATTTTCTACCCCAGGAGGACGAGTCCCAGCTCATACAGGACATGAAGGGGGGGCTTGCGGAAGACGTTCACGTCCTGGAACTACTCGAACAGGTTAGTTTTGTTGTACAGAACAGCGCACCAACTGACTCGCCACACGCAGCGCGCCGTGCACTAAAGATGATAGTATTGTATTATATTCTAATTTTGAACCCTTAACTTACAGACAAAGCTCGCCAAAGATTTGGTTACCTATTTGAGGACAAGTGGCCACGGGCAGCAGCTCGACAAGCGCGTGACTCAAGAGGTGGAAACGCGCTGGAATTCTATGTGCACTATGCTGGACCCTTATAAAATTATTCTGTACCGAAATCAGTCCGATTTTCGGACAGTCCGAGACGACATCCCGGACCTTGCCGAGAATACTACCGAAAATGTGTCAAATCAGCAAGTTTTCGAACTGTCCGAAGGCCGCGACCGGACGTCTATCGGACTGTTCGATGCCCGTGCCCGGACGTATTTCGGACTAGTCCGAATGGTCCAACCGGCTTAAAAAAAAGCTGGACAAGCGGTATTCGTTCCCTCACCTGTCGGTCACCGGCTCCCTTGACCGACGCTCTTACCAACTGAGCTACGCTGACGGCTGAGAAGAGACCACACAGGAGAGCCTCTTTAGCTGGGCTCAGAATCTCTTCCGAGACGAGCGCTACACAACGAACGAATCAGCGCATCGTCATGCGGTTTTCGGCAAATGCTTTTGCATCGCACGAAATGTTCTGTTCAGGTCATGATGAACGACCTTTT